ATATATATATATATACCAACTCAATAACAGCTCCTTATCAGAAAGGACAGGACTAATTAATTGAAAAGTTTTGTTGAAGAAATGCCCCTGCAGACATTTTTACATTATTTCCTCTGTCAAAACATATATTTTTAATGTTGTTCTTTAAAATAGCCAATATTCAGTCTGATCGTAATGTGTGAATGTTTTATTTTACATGTGGTGGTGCTTTGTTGCTTTGTGTTTTCGCTGGAGGAGCGCCCTCCCAGGTGACGTCACCGTCATCCACATCCACGGCAGCAGGAGGGGCGAGGCGGACCGCCGCTCATCCACCGGTGTCATGGCTTCCTAACCGGAGGGGGAAGTGATTGAGAGGAAAACAAGGGTTTTTTTTTAATTATTGCCGAATGCCCTACTGATTACTTCCCCCCTTCTAGAATCTGAGATCTGGACAGAGAGGGGCTCGGCCTACAAATCCGCCGCTACCGGCCGCCCCTGGGATCCACCTTATATTTTTTTATCCGTGAATTTCCATTCGGTAACCGTGGAAGATGGCCGACCCGGCGGAGTGCACCATCAAAGTGATGTGCCGTTTCAGGCCCCTGAACAGCTCCGAGGTGACCAGAGGCGACAGATACATTCCCAAGTTTCAAGGGGAGGACACCGTAGTGATCGCGGTGAGCTATTTAAATTTTAATYGCCGTGGCTACCTTTATTTTCCAGGGCTCTCCTAGCAGACAGTACGCCATTTCTGATTGTCCTGTTGGCTAAAGGCAGCTAGCAGCTTAGCTTGTTAGCTGGGCTGACCTGTTCACCGCTGCGTCGTTCCTCTGCCACCAACTAGTTCTCCTCCCATCTCACCTCCTGTTTGTCGAGTTTCAGTTCAAACAGTGGTTATTTTAGCTAATTATATATCTCTGAAAGCTACTCCGCTCGCTGTTGCCCAGAACTTGCAGCTGCCTTGTCATGACTTAGCGAGCTGTCATTCAACGAAGCCACAAACACTCGGGCTGACACAGGTTAGAACAACGACAGGTTTAGCATCCCGTTCCTGTTCAGAAGTCCCCGTATTCTTAATAATATTAAGATGTTACAAACCTGTAACTAAATCTGTACATTAAAATTTGTTTTCAACGTAAACCCATTCAATTCAATAAGGGGCTAACTGTTAGCTAACAGGCTAGGCCAGCGATGCGGCTAAGCTAGCTAGTATTAAAACTGTAGCTTAATTAAAGCTAGCCATGAGCTAACTAGCCACGAAACAAACACTTCTCTAATCCATGGTAAAAAATATTTAAGATAATTGATAAATTTATGCAAGAAATAGAGATAACACATTAAAATGAAAGTCTAGTTTTATGTAGTGACTGGACACTGATGCAACAAATTATTTAGTTTGTACACGAAATATGTTATTTTTGGAACCATTTAAAAGTTTACTGTCAACACTGTAATCAGCTCTCTTGTGCTACAAACCCCTGGACTTGATAAGCATAAAATGCACTGGCACCTTTTCCTCTAAGAGGAAAATTAAAAGGAAATGCCTTTCAGGGTGTTGATGTTGGCACTTAACTGTAACAACTAAATATTTGCCTTTAGGCCTGTTTGAAACCATAATGTATGGGATGATTTATCATCTGAGATCTGTGTATCATATTATTTTAAGAAAAAAAAAGTTTTTTGTTGAATTGTGATGAGTACAAGTTACCTATAGGAAGTGGTTTGTCATATAAGAGTTAAAGCACATTATTGTTATATTTCTAGGTTTTTACAAGGCAGCTTGCAAACGTCATTGGCATACTACACAAAGCATAGTTAAATATTAGTTTGTTAAAGTCAYACACTATGATTGTCTCTGTGGACTTTGGCTTCTTTGTAATATGCTCACTCATGCAAATATGACTTCACAGAGCTTACAGCGTTATTGAAACTTGTCTTTAAATTCATTCAAGAGTTTGCCGCCTTTGGCTAMACGAATACTACTTTTGGTCGATYTTCTACATTAGGTGTTGAGTGTGGRTTACAACATTGTTATTCTTTTGAGAACAAACCAGAGAACACTGTTGTAGTTGTGCTTTTTTTTTTTCTTTAGCTTTACCGATATTTCCTTTAGACCTTTATCAAATAGCAAGTTTTTTTCCCGTCCCACTAAGGCGTGGTCTGGACCTGCCCAGTTCAGAGTGCCATTCATAGTGCCAAAATGCCAGTTCACATTGTGAGACACTGAGTGTTGTGAGCCAGCAGTGAGTAGGCTCTCTTGTTGCATCTGCTTTGAGAAGTATAGCACTTACAGTGCCCACAGGTAGCAGCAGCATTACCCTGAGCCTCCTGGGTAATCCCTTTTGTTTTCTCTCCTGGTTACCAGTTGTTCGGCCAATCAGAAGAGGCCGTTGGCTGGGCACTGGGCAATCTCTCTGGGTGGGGAGGGTAATTATTACGGTCATGTTATCTTGTTTTGGTGATGTTCTTTGCGAGGATGACCTACTCACATTGTTTATTTTTATCCATTTTGAGAAAGTCCAGGGTGTGTATTTTATACTGAAACCGAAGCCTCAGCATCAGTGTTTCATCACTCAACAAGTGAACCTGATTACAGTTCCTGCTGGTATCTCAACGGGCTGTGACTAAAAATTCTAAGAAAAAAAGTCAATTTTTCTATTGTAGCCTAGTTGAATTTTGAGAGTTTGCAACCAACAGTCCATGTGGCCTTGCTTGGAGATTTTTAATTTAACAGCCTATATCTTGTGTAGGACTTGCAAAACTATCTTCTAGGGTAAACACATTATTAAGTTGTTCACAATGTACTCACTTCAGCTCGTTTTGTACCCGTCTTGGCAGCTGCACCCATGTTTATGATTCAGTATGCTGGAGTACATTTATTATGTTGCACAAATGTTTGACCAAGTTCAAAAATCAAGTGACAAGGCTGCAAGGATCGTAGATTTCAGGACATGTAGGAGACTCTTTTGCAGATACTTTTTACCACTAGAAACCAACACTAGCTGCGTTTCCATTGACCATGAAAATGCGCAAATTAGAATTTCGAAAATAAATTTGCTCAATGGAAACACATCAATTTCGAAAAAAAATAACGTTTTTCGAGAAAATGTTTTTGCGCTAGAAAGAGGTGGATTTTCGGCCGTAACTAAATTGATGTTTTTCGCAAAACTGCAATGGAAACACTTTTTTCGCATCACGGGAGTCACGTGATCAACAGCCGACTGTTTCTACTGGCGATAAAGACGACGACAAAGAAGATAACAGGAAGTAGAAGTAGTAGTAATATCACAGAAGTAGTCAAATAAAGTATTAAACTCACCGACTACAATTTCCCAAAAACACAGCATACGTAGCCGCTCCCAAGTAGGGGCTTGTCACTGGAAAGCCTCGATAAAAGACGCCGACGTCTCCTCTGATGATGAGCGCTAGTGTTGTGGTAGCAACATGCTATGTGTTTACATCCATTGCCGCCATGTTTGTAATGATTTATCGTGAGAACAAACGTATTCACGCGTGACTTTAATAGCATTTTTTACTTAATGGAAACACCGCAGTTGCGAAACTGTATTTTTTTTTGCCATTAACAGAATATCAACAAAGTTTTGCGCACATTTGCAATGGAAACACAGCTAGTCTCAGTCCAGCGAAATACTCATAAATCAGACAATATCTTTATATATATATTAATATATAATATATTTCTAATTGAGGGCCATTATAGATTCTCCAAACATTGTTGATATCCTTATGAATCATTGTGCAGGACTCTGTTACTYGACCACATCTTCTGGTCTTGTGGCAGAAGCGAAGAGAAATAAATTTTCTAAATGTAGTAGTATGGATGTTGTAACATTGCTGGTGAAGCGTGAGTGTTCAGGTGAATTATTCCTCATTTTACAGTTTTACACTAAAAGATTAGTTAATTGTTCCATGTGTTGTGGTCATGTTCTCTGTTTGTTTTCAGTAGCTCAGAAAARCCCTACAGAAACAGAACTGGGCTATTTTTAGGTGGTGTAATTGTGGAAGTGCTTAAGAGGTAGCATGAATGAAAAGATAAGAGAGATCAGTAGCTGTTTAACGTATAAACAGCTTTACAAATAACACACATTAAAGCCAGCTTTTTATGCTTAATGAATATCAAACAGCAGTAATTATAAATGATGAGTGACATAAAGCCWGTTTGATTTCCATGAAGAATTCTGCGGATGTTCTGAATAACCTCGCWCTCTTCCTGTCCCTTATGGAGAGTGTGACAGAGCACTTATGAGCAGGCTGACAATACATATTTCTCTGTAATTGCTATTTCARACAGTAATCCAATTAGAAAGAAGTGTAAGTAACGAGGCCAGTAGCAGCAGTAACAATGAGGACTTTAAACTCGCCATTGTTTGCTCACGGTCGCTGGCAGTCTGGATACTGTCTCTGTGGTCTTGTTCTGGGAAAGGTTAATTGCCCGGGTGTGGTGGTCTGGACTGCATAAYATATGCTGCTGTTTCAAACAGAACTGTAGCTCAGGTGCAATTTTCTAGATGTTTTTGTAGCAGATTAAAAATCCAGTTCTGCAAAGTGAATTAATTCTTAAGTTGGCTTCTGTTATAGATGTTAATGCCAAATTCTCCAGAAATCATTCCTGTTTTGCAGACCTTAGTTGTTTTTTGTGTTTTCTTCTTCAAACACACTGCTAGAGCCCCACCTATGGAGAAGAGATGAGTCAACTGGGACTGAAAACCTCCAAACACAGCTTCCCATCTGAGATGAGCCTCAGATTTGCTTGTAACATCAGTTATATTGGCCTGCACTTTCCATCTTAAATGCAGCTATTGATCTCTATCTCCCTGGAGTTGTGCTCTGAAGTTTTGACCAGCCCACAGAATACCACACAGTCAGCTGTGATGTAATTGATTGAAGTAGATTGGCTTCAAAATTGATGCTAAAAGCTCAGGATCCAGCTAGGTTTACTTTTGAAGCTGTGCTGAGCKGGATGTAGCCTGAGAAATGATAAAACAGGAAGTATAACAGGCTGGGATGCTCATGTGTGAAGACTATAATAAGTTTTAAAATACATTTTTAATCACTACAGTTAGCTTCTCTGCTTGGTTTTCATGTGTTGCTAATCAGTTTCCTGATAGTCCACCTACTGAACTTGTTCCATTCAGCTGGATAAGTTTGTAACTTCTGATTTGAATCAGCTTTCCATAAGTCAACTTTTCCTCTATATATAATTAGGGCTGGGCGATAATTCAATAATGATAAACTGCGATACACATGTATCAGAAAACACGTCCAATGTAATATTGATAATTTCACTGGTTATTACCGCTAACGGGTGATAACTTTCTGATAAAATAACTAGGACCTTTCAGCTAAACAACACCAGGAAAGCTAAGATTTACCTTCAAAATAAAAGCTTCAAGCTGTCAATAGATGACAAATGCCTGCTAAAAAATAATTGCTGTCGCTTTATTTTGAAATGTGTAAACCAAGTGATAACTTGCAGGCCCGGTCCACCATCGTAGGGTTAATATGAAATTAATTATTGATTTAAGATGCTTTTACACTGAAATGTGGTATCTACAAATGGAAGAGGGTATCAATATGATACCCCAACAGCTAAAGAAGCTAAGCTGGCAATAAAACGTGCAATAATGTGCAGCAGCAGCTTCATGTTTCAAAACAAAAAAAAGTGTCGTGATGTGAAAAGAAATGATGCAACAGCTTGAGAGGAAATTGTGGACGGAAGAGGAAAGTAGTCTGGCAGCATTTCAGATATTTTAAGTTCAACAAAAGTCAGACCGATGTTGTCTGTAATTAACCAAAAATTATTGATATCAACCAATATAAAACACTTATATCGTGATAAGTTTTTCATACATATCGCCCAGCCCTATGTGTAACGTTCTGCGGTTAGCCCATGTCTGAATGAATTGATGGCAGTACGGAAGGAAATGTAGAAATGTGTAAAATGTACAGTAGTTGTGTTTCCCTGGGCCTTTTTTTTGTCTTTTAATCTCTTATCCATGTTTAGATTCACAKCTGTTTTTAATAAAAAGCTGAATCGTTGGAAGTGCAACATTTACATTAGTCACTCATCTTTTCTTTCTGACTTTCTCTCAGTCTAAACCGTACATGTTTGACAGAGTCTTTCAATCAAATACTTCGCAAGAACAAGTCTACAACGCTTGTGCCCAAAAGATTGTTAAAGGTGATGTATCAGATCCTGTTTTACTCTTAAAGTGGATGTTTTTTGAACTCATTGCTTTGCTAACATCTGTATGATGTCTAATAGATGTTCTTGAGGGATACAATGGGACRATTTTTGCTTATGGGCAAACGTCATCTGGCAAAACACACACCATGGAGGTAAGAGCCCGGGACCTCTGAGAGAAAACGTTTAATAATGATTATAGTTGTTTCTAAGTGATATTCTTTCCTTTACTTTATACAATTTCTGCCCACTTTCAGGGGAATCTCCATGACACAGATTCAATGGGCATCATCCCCAGGATAGTGCAAGATATATTCAACTACATCTACGCCATGGATGAAAACCTGGAGTTTCATATCAAAGTAAGAAGGGTGGTGCATGTTTTATGTAACACGACGCGCCTTTTTTAACTTCTTTTCTCTTACGCCTCATGAAGCATCTAAAATAAATGTTTGATTTGAAGCTTCAAAATTAAAGAGTTGTTTCTTTGCTGGATTGCCAAATAACAAGCTTTTTTTGTTCACAGGTTTCATATTTTGAAATCTACTTGGACAAAATCCGAGATCTGTTGGACGGTAAGTGACTGAGCGAGTAGCCTGAACACARTCTTCTATTTTTCCTTTGATTGGACCGAACTGTGGCAGCAGATGTGACAGAACGAGCCGCCAAATGTCTGAGAAAATTAATGATCGGCATCAGGAGCATCTTCAACAACACTGGAACCTTTTAAAACATGAAAACTCAAATGTTTCTCTTATACTTTTAATTAGGATTTTAGTATTGGTTAGATATAATTTTACAAAAAWTGTACTTTATTTGTAGTTTTTGTGGTTTTTACTCATCAGATTTATACACTGACAAACATATAAAGATGAAAAATATTTAAGATGTTTYAGCAATGGATCTGAATGATACTGTGAAGATGTGAACAAACAAAATAACAGATATTTTGTACATTCTTTTATGCCATTAAAATTTCTGTGGTAAAACATCTGGCTTTTTTCCATACTTAAGTCTCTCTGCTGCATCTGTTTTTTATTTCTAGTGTCAAAGACCAATTTATCAGTGCATGAAGACAAAAACAGAGTACCCTATGTTAAGGTGAGTGCCTTTCACCTGCTATTTGTCAAGAAATCTGGTAAAACCTGTTAACGGAGCTCAACAGAAACGTCTCCTGTTCCTTTTTTTTTGTCTGTAAAGGGCTGCACTGAAAGGTTTGTCTGCAGCCCAGAGGAAGTCATGGATACTATCGATGAAGGCAAATCCAACAGACACGTAGCCGTCACAAGTAAGCTCCTACACTTTACATGCTTCTGCAGAACTACATCCTGAATACGGCTGTGAATTGCCAAGAAATTAGTGATATGCTCGGTGTTCCCGTAGATCCTTAAAAACTCTTAAAAGGCATTAAATTCATCAATCCAAAAATAAGGCATTAAATAGCCTTAAAATGTCTTAAAGTTTCAAAGGGCTTAAAAAATGTTAACACATTGTAAAATTAGTCTCAAATTTTACAATAATTGGTAACATTTATTTGTTGATTTTAAAAATAAAATAAATGAATCTAAATAAATAAATCTCGCAGCTAGTTGTTTTGTGTTAAAATAAACATTTGGGTACAATTGTTGCTAACTGTTCTTTTTTTTATTATTAATTTGTGTTAATTGTGAAGTTGGTCTTTCATATCAAGTGGCATTAAAGAGGTTAAAAGGTCTTAAAATTAACTTGCCTTAAGCTGCAGAAACCTTGATGATGCATATCACGATACGGGTCAGGATATGATATATCGCGATACTGTAAGCAAGACGATATATCGCCTTTTCCCCCCCAAAATATTCTAATACAAAAACCTCAGAACACCATGCGTACATAAAATCTGAGAACAATGAGATCTGTTTGTGTTTCATATTTCTTACCACATCCATCCATTACACCTTCATTAAAAATCGATACAGTATCAGAATTGAAATATCGCGATATTTCAATGTTATCGATATTTTCTTRACCCCCTAATTGTGACTTTAGATTTCTGTATATTCAAGGCCTTTGACCAAGCGTCTCCTCTCCTTCAGACATGAACGAGCACAGCTCCAGGAGTCACAGCATCTTCCTGATAAACGTCAAACAGGAGAACACTCAGACGGAGCAGAAGCTCAGCGGGAAGCTCTACCTGGTGGATCTTGCCGGTAGTGAAAAGGTGAACTAAAACAACCACCTGCATTTTGGAACAGRGTTGGTGTTTTATTTCAGGGACGGTAAGGTTTCTGATTTGTGGTTGACCTCCGTGATGTGCAGGTCAGTAAAACTGGTGCTGAAGGAGCYGTGCTGGATGAAGCCAAGAACATCAACAAGTCTCTGTCATCTCTGGGAAATGTCATCTCTGCGTTGGCTGAAGGATCGGTCAGTAGCTCTAATACACTTTACTCTTATACTATTTASTCTTTGTAGAGATGCTTAAGTGTTTTGCGGTTATTTAATTCAAATTTCTTATGGCACAGCTTTAGCCTTTACTGCATAACCTAAACCTAAGTCTGTTTCGGCATATCTATCCTGCTAATTACCACAATAAGTGCTTAAATCTCTTCCAGCCCTAGGTGTGATTATAATTTTTTTTTTAGCTGTAGAGTCTTAAAACAACGCTCTCCCATTGATGCCACAGAAAGAAGCGCCCTCTGTTTAGCAGCTGCAGAGCCTGGAGCTCGTGTCTACATGATAAAAACCACCATMTTTTCCTGTTTTCTTTGTGCAGAAGCTGCATTTTAAGACATCTACGGGTCTTTTGTGTGGCAGAAGGAACTTTAAGCAGATAAAGCCTTTCCTCCGAGCTATGCCTTTCCCCAGCTTTTTGTTCTAATTTCACCCCTTTCACTTTGATCAAGCGTTGGTTTGTTGAACRGCTCATTCGCTGTGTAAACAACCTGCGGCGGACAGCTGCTGATACATTTATGATGCTCGAAAACAAATTATCTGTTGTCCAGAGACGCTTCACTAACCGCTGAGGATAATAGTTTGCAAAGAAAGATGGCAGCTTGCTGCAGCTTAGCTGGATGGACTTAATCACAAACCGTTACTTTATTTATTGGTTTTACCAAACTTTCTGCAGTTTATCTGTTCAGTCCTGGTGAAACATGAAGCTTTTTCTTTAGTTTCAGTACAACAAAAGCATTTTAGCTTAGAAAGTCCCAACCGGGTTTTAGTTTCTTTTTAAACTTTGGTGTCTGTTGGATTATTTACTGATCATTCAGTCAGCACCCTCATTGTTTCTCTACTTCAAGTCTTTAATAGTCAGAAGAGAAAGTCTGAGAACTTCCTGAATATTATTTGATCATGTATATGTTTCTGTGTTCCCTGCTTCCAGGCCTACATCCCCTACCGAGACAGCAAAATGACCCGTATCCTTCAGGACTCGCTGGGTGGTAACTGTCGAACAACAATTGTTATCTGCTGCTCGCCTTCCTCTTACAACGAGGCCGAAACCAAATCCACCCTGATGTTTGGACAAAGGTTAGTAGGTCAAACGGAAGACAACGGCTCTCTAGTCTCAAAGATATGACTGAACAGCATAATTTATTAAATGCAATATAAATTAGTTGCAGTTTTATAAAACACTTTTTAAATAATTGTTGTTTTCCTGTTTATTTTACTCTACATTTTTTTGCAATCTTCAGCGGCATACTTACCTGTTCATATTTTATAACTATTCTAAAAGTTAGTATTACATTTTAAATGTTACACTAATATATTTAACCACTTTTATACAAATATGGCACCATATTGAGATCTCTTTAATTTCTTTATAAACATTGTTCTCTTTGAAATCTTCTTCACTGTATTGGCTCTTTTTTGTTTTCTTCTGCTTCTTTTTATGTTTAATGTGCTGCCTTTTTTGTTATTTTAGCTATTTGTTTGTTACTTTAGCTGTCGGTTTGTTGCGTTTAGCTATTGGTTTATTGCGTTTAGCTATCGGTTTGTTGCGTTTAGCTATCGGTTTGTTGCGTTTAGCTATCGGTTTGTTGCGTTTAGCTGTCGGTTTGTTGCGTTTAGCTGTCGGTTTGTTGCGTTTAGCTGTCGGTTTGTTGCGTTTAGCTGTCGGTTTGTTGCCTTTAGCTATCGGTTTGACCTTTAGCTGTCGGTTTGTTGCCTTTAGCTGTCGGTTTGTTGCCTTTAGCTGTCGGTTTGTTGCCTTTAGCTATCGGTTAGTTACTTTTAGCTAGGTTTCTGCTTATTTTAGCTTCAGGCAAAGTTATTCAGTACCCAGCTTTGTCACAGAAACTGTATTTTCCTAAGATAAAAATATCCTAKATTTTTTAATCACTAAAGGTTATGTAGAAAATGAAATCTGTTTTAAAAGGTGGTTGATTGTAAAACACGATAAAATGTTTGAGAGTTAATTTATTCTTCTACTTCCAGAGCAAAGACCATCAAGAACACGGTGACGGTGAACATCGAGCTGACAGCAGAGCAGTGGAAGCAGAAATACGAGCGAGAGAAGGAGAAGAACAAGACTCTGAGGAACACCGTCACCTGGCTGGAGAACGAACTGAATCGCTGGAGAAACGGTGAAACTGAACAGATTCTGAGCTCCGTGCAGCCTCGGCTTTAATCTGTCCCTGCTCACTGAACACATGTTCTCCTGTCCTGGCTCAGGCGAGAGCGTGCCGGTGGAGGAGCAGTTCGACAAGGAGAAGGCCAAYGCCGAGGTGCTGGCCCTGGACAACATCCTGAACGACAAGCCGGCCTCCACGCCCAACATGCCCGGCGTTCGGCTGACGGACGTGGAGAAAGACAAGTGTGAGGCTGAGCTGGCCAAGCTTTACAAACAGCTGGATGATAAGGTGAACAAGAGCCCTAAACATGTTCACACGTACGATGCTGTGGAAATATCTGTTGTTAATTTTTTGTTTTATTTTAGGACGATGAAATCAACCAGCAGAGCCAGCTGGTGGAGAAGCTGAAGCAGCAGATGCTCGACCAGGAGGAGGTGAGACRACCGAAGGGAGTTTGATTCAAACTCCTCACAGCGTCGGCAATGACGAGTTTTAAACAAACACAACCGTTTCAATTCCCTCAGCTCCTGGCTTCCTCCCGGCGGGACCACGAGAACCTCCAGGCCGAGCTGAACCGCCTTCAGGCAGAGAACGAGGCCTCCAAGGAGGAGGTGAAGGAGGTGCTGCAGGCCCTGGAGGAGCTGGCCGTCAACTACGACCAGAAGAGCCAGGAGGTGGAGGACAARACCAAGGAGTTCGAGTCCATCAGTGAAGAGCTCAGCCAGAAATCTGTAAGCTGGCAGTATAATCAGCCTGTTGAACTTTGATTGTTTCTGGGATTACATTAAAAAAAGGGATTGTCAAAGTACCAACACTCCCATACCTGAAGTCATATTAATAATTAGAGTTTCAAATGAAAGTKCAGTTATTCTCACAGGGTGAGTCAGAAAGCAATAAATTCATAAAACATGTCTGAGGTGTCAGATTTACTTATAAAGAGGCTGACGTCAGAGCTCTTTTGTCTGCTGGTAATGTAGTAAGATGATGCTCAAACTGGGCGTGGCTCTGCAGTTTTTCAGTGTCCGTATAAGAACATTTTGTGCTTTTCTTCCCCTCATTGTCTTTTATTAAAACAACTTTTAATAACAAAAGCTTCTGTTAAAAATGTCTGTTTTTGCAGTCCATCCTATCGTCTCTGGACTCGGAGCTCCAGAAGTTGAAGGAAATGTCGAATCACCAGAAGAAGAGGGTGACTGAGATGATGTCATCGCTGCTCAAAGACTTGGCTGAGATCGGTTTTGCGGTGGGCAGCAATGATATTAAAGTACGGAGCTGTTTCTACATTATTTTTTTCTTCCCTACCCCTCCTGCCCTGACAACAGTTTGTTTGTCTGCAGCAACACGAGGGCGGCAGCGGCCTGATAGACGAGGAGTTCACGGTGGCGCGTCTCTACATCAGCAAGCTGAAGTCGGAGGTGAAGACGATGGTGAAGCGCTGCAAGCAGCTGGAGAGCATCCAGTCAGAAAGCAACAAGAAGATGGACGAGAACGAGAAAGAGCTGGCTGCCTGCCAGCTGCGCATCTCGCAGGTTTGATGAAAAGTTAACCGAGCCGAACGGGTTGCTTTGTTCCGGGACACTAATGCTGTGTTTACCCACAGCACGAGGCTAAGATCAAGTCCCTGACGGAGTACCTTCAGAACGTGGAGCAGAAGAAGAGGCAGCTGGAGGAGAACGTGGACTCGCTCAATGAGGAGCTGGTGAAGCTCAGTGCTCAGGGTGCGTCACTGAAACACTTTTATTTTGGCTTGTTGAAGAGAGGGGCTGCGCGTGCGCTATGGTGCACGCTTGGCATCTGAAAATACATTTCCTCAAAGGTATTTTTAATCTGAAAAGAGCTTCGCTGAGTGAGAACTAATGTTGAGAGCAGCAGACAGTTAGGTTTCACTTTCACCCGAGAGCCTGCAGGAGTTATGGGCGGGGTGTGTGTGTGTGTGTGGGGGGGGGGGGGGGGGGGGGG